TAACCAGCTTCGAAGGTTTGGTATATTCAACATAGGAGTCATACACGGTTGCAGTATGTCGGACGAAATCAATTTCGATTGCAACCCAATGGGACTCTCGAAGATTATATGGAAAATAGACTTTGCGGACTTTTTTCCAAGATTGGGCATAGCCGTGTTGCCACGTACCATTCACAAAGTGATGTACATTCTTCAGCTTGTTGGCTGGAAGGTCACTGGTGTTGGACGCAGCTGCCTTCTTCGATCCACGTGTCTTGCCAGTCGCTTTTAACGGCTCTAGGAATTGCTGCAGACGTTGAAATGAAACCATATTACACAATGACAACCAAAAGCAAATGAAGCAGTGAATGTAACATGGTAAAAAGTGTACCTGCAAGGCATAATCTGCCGTTGTCCAGTCGGTTCCAAATAGCAACGGATGAGAGAGTTGCCGTTTGCGGATAAGAAAGGTTGCCATTTCCAGGTGCTGAAAGTTGACATATAATATGAGCACATTTTCAGACAATTGTACACTTACAAAAGGAGAGAAAACAATTGAATTATCATAAAAAAGAAGAGATGTGTGTATTCTTACCCTTGAGCTAATCCATGCCGTTTCATCGATGAGTTTATAGAAAAAATCAGCGCCCACGGAAAATGCTTCAAGCTGCACCTGCACACTACAAAAGGCAAACTTGCAACCGTTACGTTTGGACTGATCTCATCATTCAGACTTCGGTAATGACAAATATTCAGATGCATATTAATACGGCTTGGATTGGATTTCGAAGGTCAAGAATCCGAACCTGATATCATTTTTCCACGCAGTGCAAAATTCTATTACTGCCTTCACATCTTCAATGGGCAGCGGTTTTGATGGATCAAAAGATGGCGGGGTTGCAGGTGCATCGGACACAGTCATTGTCCTCTTCTTCCTCAAAGGATCAGTAAATGGACTTAACAATGTCTGGGCCGGGCGCTTCTGTCTACACCCTTTACCTTCCACTTCTTTTTTTTCAACACTTAAACTACCTTCTTCATCAGCAGCCATACTAATTGTAGGTATACTTGGAGGATTCATCGGAGCTGCCGATGGCACACTGTCAGCTCTTTTCCAATCTTCCAACAAAAAAAAACATAAGTCTTTGGCAGATTTCGTCACACCCGGCCACATCTTCCGGGGTAGGCAGCTTCTCGGATTGTGCATGCGCAGCTGCTTCATGCACTTGTAAGTCAGGAACTAGAGTGACCATGGCTGCGGAAGGTTCGGCTCCATCACTGGGGATCGGTGTTTCCATTGCTGCCGGTTTTGTAGGCGGACTGACATTGTCATGTAATGGCGACAAGTCATTGTCGCCTCCTTCCTTCATACGAGGAGTACCGAGGTCCTCACGTCCTTCCCAAGCTTCTTTCACCCCACCATCTTGTTTTCGCAGCTGCTCTATCTCCACCTTAAAATAATGCTCCATTGCAGCAAGTGTGTTGCGGAAATCCTCGACACACTTGTTATTTCTTTCAACTTTGGATGACTCCTTCCGTACAGTTTCTTCCAACTCAGCCACTCTGTTGCGAAGGGCTCGATTTGAACTGGAAACTTTGTTCATCCTTTGAAAG